GGGAATTAATGTTTGCTCAGTTTGATATTAGTTTTGATTTTGTTGGTGCCTTCGCTAATGGGTTTCTAAAGTATGGCTTGAATTCCTCTATTGTTTATGATTTTTTATGGAAGTGCACTAAAGAAATGAGATGATTGGTATCTGCTTTGAGATTTTTGTATATATATTTGCACAAAATCCCTTTGGAACTAAGCATGGGTACGTGAGTTTTTCCTGTAGCAATTCTATTTGACTAATGATCAATATTTTCTTCGCTTTTTCCATTAAAAAATATTTACTTTGCTTTAATAAATTGTGCACATAATTTAAAAGATAAATTCATACTGTGTACAATTTTAAAAGATAATTGGTGAAGTTGATTTTAAATGATCTCTTACCGAATTTAGCATTGGATATTTAAATTATTATTATTATTATTATTATTATTATTATAAGAAGTTGCAGAATGAGAGACAACATTTTTCTGTCTCTTAACTTCATCCTTGTATGTTATGTAAGTCAAATTTAAGAGTTTTTTTTTTTTTTTGGTTTCCCGCTTGGTATTTGGGGCTTCGCCCTGACTAATCCGGACCCAACCCACGTCCGCACCTGAAAATGGTGGGTGAGTCTCCCAGCGGGGGCTACTGCGTACATAAAGTCTCGAACTCGAGACCTTACTTAAGCTGAAACAAGTCACTTACCACTTGATCCAACCCCTCGTTGATCAAATTTAAGAGTTTTTATTTGCGCTAAAAAGAGATTACCATTAATATATTTAAATTGTTGGCGATATTTAAATTATTAATAATGGACTTTTGTGGAAGGTGAATGGACAAACTTATTGTGTCATATTATGATAAACATATTGTATCATACATACATTAAATATCATGGTTAGTTTTCAATTATGAACAAAATGCAACAACTCCTTGTGACCATAAAAAAATGTATTGATAGAAAAATTATTATAAAGTCTTGGCTACAATTTGAAAATTTAAAAATAGTCTTTGCAGCCAATGACTTAAATAGTTCAGTGGTCATCTACTTCCGTTGAAAATAACAGATCTTGAGTTCGAGTCGCATGACATATGAGTGGGGTGGGATAAGAGATGGAAAATGGTTGCCTCCCATTGTGCAACCAAAATCCAAAAATAAAAATAAAAATAAAAATAACCCTTGCAAGGCATGGCTGAAAGGACTAGTTTAAGAAGAAAGTGCATCTGTAGGCAATTGAACTACTAGACACTACAAGAAAATTCACATTTAGCGACTAAATTATTGATCATTAAATCTTTATTTTTCGTCACAAATTATTATTAGTGATAAAATTTAAACCGTTAGTAAAACCCTTGTAACTAATGCTCTTAATGACAAATTAAACACCTGTTACAGAAAATAATTTTATAGTGATAAAAAAAATTGACATTGTTAACAAGTTATTTATAACAATTTTATTTGTCACAAAAAAACATTCGTCACAAATGCAATTATGATGCAAAATTTAGTTATTAATTATTAAAATTGATATTAAATAAAAACGATATTTATATAATTACAACACAAATATTTTAACAAAAATTTTGTCACAAAAAAATATTATAAAGTTATCACAAAAGTTTAATAAAAAATATTATTATTTCAATATTAATCAATTTTTATTAAAATTAATCAAACCCGATTAAAATTAATCAAGCCCAATTAAAATTAATCAAGCCCAATTAAAATTAATCAGGCTCAAACTAATCTGAAATTTTATTGAGTTTCACATGTTTTATAGTGTAAAAATTTATTTTCTTAAATATTTTTTATCGATATGAGATATATTTATAATGCAAAACTTTATTCTCTTATGTGTTTTTTATTGATGTGGGATGCATTGATTAGAGAAAATTGACAATTTTTAATGACGAAATATATTTTTTAGTGCTAAATTATTTGGTCATCATTGAATGTGTAAGGTATATGTGACCAATATTAAAATTTTATCATAATTGTAATGCATTATAGTGATGATTTTTATTGACAAAAGCTTATTTTATATTTATGAATATTTTTCGGTAAAGAAATATATTTTTTATGATGAATTTTTTTGTTCATAATTAAATATGTATGTATCTGTGACTAATTTTTTAGATTTGTTACAATTGTGATAAGTTACAGTGATGATTTCAAAATTTATCACAAATTTCTGTCACTAAAAATCATTTTTCTTGCAGTGAGATCTAACTAAGGGTGCATTTGGGATTGTTGGGATTGTTGTGAAGTGTTGTGGCCATAGCTGTAGCTGTAGTTGTGTTTAGCTGTAGCTGTGCTTAACTGTTGCTATACTGTGCTGTAGGTATAACTAAAAGTTATTTTAGTGTTTGGTTATTTATTTTTTAAAAGTGTTATAGATGAAATATGATAGATTTTATTAATTATTAATTAAATTTAAAAAATATTATAAGATATATAATTATTAAAATATATAATATTTATTATTTTTTAATAATTTAAGTTTTTAAAATTTTTTTAATTATTAAAGTATTATAAATTGTGATGTAATTAAATTATATAAAATTGAGTTTTAATGGGTAATTTTATAAGTATATTAAAATATTAAATATTGTTCGTAAAAGTCACAGCTAAAAAATTCAAAAAATGAGGTTTTTAGTTTTATATATAAAATTACTGTATTTCTGCTGTGACTTTTTCCAACATTTTAAAAAAGTAATTTGAAAAAAAATTACTAAATATACATATATCTAAAAATACTGTATGATTACATGAAAAAGTTCTTAACCGCAATGTCAAACTTACCCTAAGTCTTTAATGTGTTTTGATTGGGAAATTGAAACAATTATTCGGATGATCGAGTCAACCCTTTTTGTAAAAGAAAACAGTGACAAATTTTTAAGAACTTCCCCTCAACTCTAAAAGCAGAGTTGTAAGCCAAACTCCTAAAAGAAAGCAACATGGCTGGGGCTTTGACCAACTTTGGAAACAAAAAACAACCAGGAGCATTGTTTTGAACCCGGACCAGACCAGTTGGTCTGACCAGTTGAATCAAAACGAATTATAAAACAGTTCAATTCATGATATAAACTCGGTATGCAGTGAGGTTTAGCCAAAATAAGTCAAACCCAGTCAAATCTTGAAAAAACTGATCAAATTTTTTGATCTTTAAATCGGTGAACCGTCTGATTCACAAAATTTTAAACATCTTTTAATAAGTTGTGCATAAGTGAATTCTAATCCCACTCTTTCAATGCACATTTTAAGGTTTCTACCATTGAGCAACCAACACCACTAATGTTATTCTTGGATAAAATAAAATAAAATAAAATAAAATAGTGCATTTATGTAATTTTCAACAATTAATTATTTTCTAAGTCGATGGCATGTGGATGATTTTAATTGAACATTTAATAAATTAAAATTAAATTTCATTTTTTATAAAAATTAATTATTAAAAGGCATAGTAAATGCAAAAGAACATGCTAGAAAAATATTTTTATAAAATAAATATATAAATTAGTTAATTTTAAAATAAAATAACAAAATTAAAGTAATTACCTTTAAACTCAAATTATAAATCATATCACTAAATTAAATTAAGTTTTTATTTTTAAGATTTTAAATTGTTTATTTAATAAAATCATAAATAATAATGATAATGATTTGATAAGATTCAAAATTTTAAGTGTTTAAATATTAAATGAAATTTGATTTAATGATATTGTTCTTTCCTTTTCTTTTTATATTTTTATAGAAATGGTTTGATGTTAAAAGATATAAATTAAAATTTTTATTTAAATTTTATAAAATTACTAATTATTACATTCAATTTTTAATTATGAAAAATCAAAAAATTGAAATATTAACAATAGACTATTGAGTTTAGTGATTTAATATTTACATAATTACTATAAGTTTTAAAATCAAATCTTACTTTTTACTTTTTAAAAATTTTAAAATATCATTTTTTATATGATTAATTAAACCAATCAATTAAACCAATTCAACCATTTAAATCAAACCTAATGCCTAAAATGAATCAAGTACTAAGTCGGTTCTTAAAACATTGAGCAGGAGAGCAATCTCCAACTCAAGCACTTTTGAGGTCTAGTTCATTGGAAAGTTAAATTAATACAATTTAAAAAGACAAGGGGGACTATGTATATATTTTTATTTTTTGATATGCGAGAAAGTACATGAAAAGGGGGAAAGCATATTAACTTAAAGGTCACTGGCACCAAGAGAAGGATATGTGTATTAAAACTAGAGAATTTTCCCACAATGATTCAAGAAGAAAATGTGTCCCTAATCAATTGGATTCGATTGGAATCTTTTAGGACCTCTCTGGTCTTAGCTGCATGACATTAATTGTAGGAATTTGACCCATAATATTGATGTGTTAGCCAATCATATTATAATTAAATTAAATTTTAAATTTATAATTAAAAATACAAACAACTCTATTTAAAAATATAGACAATTCTAATATCATACTATATAATTGATGGTAGGATTCGATTGTTTTAGATGTTAGAAAATTAATATTCATTATTGATAATTACATAAAAATAGGAGTATTTAAATTATAAATAACTACAATTATCAATTAAATATTAACTACATTCAAAAGCTAATCCAAACAAGTTCAACCCAGCAAGCTCTTGTTATTATACTACCCTCATCTCCGTCTTGGTTGAGTACGTTGAATTCTCTGTAAGCGCGATGTGAAATAGGCCTAGTTTCAGTATGGTTGGTGCTTACTCGATCTATACATCTTAGATTCAAGCTCCCATCGATTCAGTCTCCCCACACTTTAATTGGCATTGGGGACAACTATAAAGTACGGTATTTCCACGATACATGTGGTGGAATTTGCAATGGTGTAGCTGTGCTTTTATTTCCCTTTTCCTTCTGCTAAATGTAAGTAACGCTCATCTATCTAACTCCTTCAGTGGTAGAAAAGAGCCATTAATGCAGCATCAAATTTTTTTTATATAAATACACCTTTTCCGTTCAATTAACCGCACTTGGTAGTATTCCAAAAAGCTAACCCCATTTTAGGGTTATTTTATTGGAACAATTCCAATATGGAATACAGCTCCCATAGCATCTTTCCTTTGATGATTTCAATTTTGTTGGTCACATTGGGATTTCTTCCTCCTTTAGCTGAGGCTAGGGCATTTTTCGTCTTTGGAGATTCTTTAGTCGATAGTGGCAACAACAACTACCTCGCTACCACTGCCCGTGCGGATTCTTACCCTTACGGTATAGATTATCCCACTCATAGAGCCACCGGTCGGTTCTCTAATGGCCTCAACATCCCAGACATATTAAGTATGATGTCTCCATCTTTCATCTTCTGAAATTATTTTGACATATGACATATATGTTCCTATCCTAATTAAGTTGATATATTTAACTAAATAGTACAAAAAATTGATATGTCTTTAATCTCAGTTGACCACTTGAACTTGGTAAGTTTTTTCATTCAAGTCTCCGTGAAATTTTCAGGTGAGCAACTTGGTTCTGAATCCACATTGCCATATCTGAGCCCAGAATTAACAGGGGAGAAGCTGCTTGTTGGGGCCAACTTTGCTTCAGCTGGAATTGGAATTCTAAATGACACTGGAATTCAATTTGTAAACTTTCTATATATACATTTTCCTCTGAACATCCATTTTCTTTCTTTCTTTCCAAATTAACGCTTAATTTATCTGATTTGCATTCGCGTTTACAGATAAATATAATTCGAATCCACGCACAGCTTGAGTTCTTCCGACAATATCAGCAGCGTGTGAGTGCACTCATTGGACCAGATGAGACTGAACGTCTAGTGAGTGAGGCTCTTGTCCTCATGACCCTTGGCGGAAATGATTTCGTTAACAACTACTACCTGGTGCCTTTCTCTGCAAGGTCACGCCAATTCGCGCTCCCAGATTATGTCGTCTACCTAATCTCTGAATATCGAAAAATTTTAGCGGTAATTAAACACTTACTTATTTTTTATTTTAAATTATATAATAAAAAATAATTTTTTTAAATTTTTTATAATTCATCTTATATAAGTTATTTAGGTTCTTGACATGTTTATCTGTTTCTTTCTTTAACGATTTATCCGGCATTTGCAACAATATTACTTGTAAATGTAAATTTAATCTATTATATATGCATACGTTTTGATCACACACCTAACTGGGCTAGAAAATGGTCCCCGTATTTACTGAGCCCAACCGTCAAGATACACAAAAATAAAGTCAGGGTTGTAGAACGATGTCTTTAAATAACAGTATTAATGATGTGGGGACGTGTGCATGTTTGCTCAGTTTTATGATGTGAAAATAAGTTTTCCTTTTTTTATTTTAAGTTACTTGATAAAGGTCAATTATTTTTTATTTTTTAATTTATTATTTCTCAAATAAAATATTTTTATTTATATTAAAAAAATTATTATTTATTTAAACAGTTAAAAGGTAAAACTAAATTAAGGCCCAGGTAGACCCAAGCCCTATAAGAATATATAGAGCCCTTATTAATAGACTTTACCCATGATGAAAAAAAAAAATGTTAGACCAGATAACAAACGGTAAAAGCCCAACTATATTCACAAAAGATCCAAAAGATTTTTATTCAAAGAAGAGCCAAGCTTTATCAATTTTCTTTTGTCCATTTAAACCAAGTTAAAAACAACTGGTACTCTATTCCCATAACCAAAAGGCAGATTTGAGATTTATTATTATTATTTTTTGAATTACATAATGAAAAATAATATTTTTGATTCCTTAATCTATCTGCCTACTCGTGTATCGTGCCAATTAGATCATTGGCCAGAGTTGAAAGTTTAAGTCGGTGCTCTTCTCTAAGTGTCGGTTTTGTGGTCCTCTTGTCCTCTGCTGTTGTGCTTCTGCTCCTCACTCATTATTTCCATTGTTCTTCAGTGGATTGACATACCATTTAAGGCACTGCAGGATATGGATAGATAATAGATGATTTATTGTTTTGTTATTTATGATACTGCCCATTCCTTGTCAACATTACCTTCTTTTCTTTTTCATTTTAATTTTTAATCGAATTAATTCTAGGTCAGAGAAAAAGCAATGGGTTAAGGGCAAAGCCACCAGTGGAAAATGGGAAATTTGTGATTTCTACGCCAAATTCATATACCAATAATTTTCAAAATTAATTCTCAAATTTTATTATTTATAATGTGTTCGTACCCGATGCAGAGGTTATACGAGTTGGGGGCTCGTAGGGTTCTAGTGACTGGAACCGGACCGTTGGGTTGTGTCCCGGCAGAGATCGCCTTGCGTGGACGGAACGGGGAGTGTGCAGCGGAGCTGCAAGAAGCAGCAGCCTTGTTTAACCCACAGCTGGAGCAAATGATAAGTGAACTCAACAACGATATTGGATCCGACGTTTTCATTTCTGCGAATGCATTTAAAATGCATATGGATTTCATCAGTGACCCTCAAGCTTACGGTATGCATCTTCCCATGGACACATTATATTTCATAAGGGTTTTTCTAACTTAAAGAGATTTCTTTTTTTTTTTTGAACATTTTAGTCATGGGACAGCTCGAACCTTGCCCTTTGAGAGATATAAACCTTACAAGAGTGGTTAGAGTCACTTGACTTACAGGGCCAAGTTCAACTTAAAGAGTTTATTTACTCCACCTTTTACAGATAATTTACATGAAAATTTGTAAAAGTAAACTATATTTTCAACACTAATGTTACGTAAAATAAATTAATTGGACAATCGATAAAATTTAAGTTAGTTTTTATTTTTTATATAAATTAATAGTAAAACAATATAATAAATACATCTTAAAAGTACAAATTAAAAAATTCTTGTTTTGTATGATGACATCAATTAATTTAATATATATATATATATATACAAAACCTAATAATTAAGAACCCTCATTATAATGCATAAAAATAAGAAAAATAAAATAAACCCTTGTTGATTGAAGAGGATTTAATTAGTTCAAAATGCAATTTGTTTTGGCAGGCTTTGTTACTTCAAAGGTAGCATGCTGTGGGCAAGGTCCCTACAATGGGATAGGACTCTGCACCATAGCTTCAAACCTGTGCCCTAATCGAGACGTCTATGCCTTCTGGGATGCATTCCATCCAAGTGAAAGGGCCAACAGGTTTATTGTGCAGCAGTTCATGATTGGGTCCAACAAGTACATGAATCCAATGAATCTTAGCACCATTCTGGCGTTAGACTCTAGGGCCTTAAATTAACGTCCCATGTTTTTTCTTTAAAAAATCATATTTATCTTCTCTTCTTCTTCATCATTGCTGTATGATCTTGTTAAAAAGTGGTTGGTTTGTTATGCATTAATATCCGTGTAAGCTTTCAATTCTGTATTGCATCACATTGATTAATTATATTATATATTTATTTTTATCCATATCCCTTCTTTTTCAACTTAGGAGTGTCTTTCATTCTTTCCTTTGTTGGAGCATGCTAACTTTTTACTATGGTAAGTGAGAGAAGATGAGGGAGTGAGTTTGAGTCAGTTCGAAAGGCAGTGGCATGAGATGTCGAATAGTTTGAAATGTTTGAAAGAAAAAATGGCAAAAAAACTGAAGATAACACCGAGAAGCTTCGAGAAATTTTCAAAAGAATATGGCTATTAATAAATAACGGAATGTTCGTCAGTTTTTTTAAAGAATATTTTGATCTGTTATTGTAACCAGTGAATTCAAAATTTCTTTGGGTTGGAGTTAGAATACTGACAGAATGGTGAAAAATACTCTTATTCTTCTTATTGGTAGTAAGAACATTCAATTTGAACTACCGGTCGTATATATTGCCTTTTTCCACGAAGATCTCCCCTTTTAGCAAGATAAATTTGTCTAGCTTGACAACGGACAAAAGCCATGCTTATTTAGTATACTAGTAGGTACCAAGTTCTCCCTAGCACTACAAGCATATGTATCTATATTGACAGAAGTTTTCCGTCGATATACACCCTTTTTCCATCAATATAGACCCCAAAGACTATTTCGACAGAAGAGCTTTCAGTCGGTAAAAACCTCATCTGTATAGGGTCTATACTAACGCCTAATCCATCTGTATAGACCCTTGGGATCTATTCCGATGAAAAACTTATCTGTTGGTATAGATCTTGAGAAATCTTAAAAGATTTTTCTATTGGTATAGACCCTTACCTTTACAAATGGATAATTTCATTGGTAAAAACTTGAAGTTCCGTCTTTATACATCCATAGGCCAAGGATCTATACAGACAGTTGTTTCCATCAATATAGATCCTTTTTTTTTTTTTTTGTTTACAATTTGTAATTCCCTTTTATTTTATTAATGATTTCTTCTATGCTTTTTTTTGTTGGCTGTATTGACAAAAACCATTTAACAAAACATATTTTTATTCGTATGTTAAAAACAAATAATACTACAACCTATTTTACAATACACAAAAACCTCCATAAAATAAATTTCCCATCAAATAAATTTCCCATCAAATAATTGATTGAAAAGTACAATTTCAAGGTCACAAATGTGGCAAATTAAAATAATAAAAGGTTTTCTAGAAATAGACCTTTCATTCTTTTGTTTTGAAGGCTTCCATGGTTCCATTGCTAATAGCACAAGCAATGTAGATTGGCTAAGAAAGCTAGTCTAATACCAAGACCACCGTGATGATTTCTCAAACCCTTTGTCTTGCTTGCAAGCTTAAGTTCTTCAAAACAACAAAAATAAAATGCAAGAATAGCTACTTTTGCATATACCAATTATATTTAGATGGAGAAGTTAACCTTGCTATTCCAAATGGTCCTAGTTGAAACTTAAGGCCTAATTGGAAAAAAACTTGTAATACAAAAGGAAGTTTCTATTTAAACCAAAAGGCTTTCAACCTTTCATCCAAAAAGCTCTTACTTCTATTCAGATCTTCCTTCCTTCTAACTTTTCTCCCAATCAAACCTTTCTCCCAATCAAACCTTTAAACTAACAAGAACAAAAAGTGCTAATCCCCACCTATGCTCCAACAATTGAGACAATAAAATTAGAAGTAAACATTCAAATAGAATTAAAGGCTCAAAACAAAAGTAAAACTACAGTTGGCAGAACTTGACAAATCTATGTCTAGGAATCTCAAGCAATTAAAACAGACTATTCATATTGTTAATTCAAGTGTAGCAACCAATTCCACAATAATATAAGCAACCAAAGTTGATTAAATTTCAATAAGCATCAAAGATCAACACACAACTTCAAGACTATTAACATTCTAAAAAAATACCTTGTATTTCATATCAAAAGTTGTTAAGTTGTCCAAAAGAAAATGGACATGTCAAGCTAAGTTCATAAGTCTTAAAACAGTCTAGCAAGGAGATACAAACATGCCTTTCAATTCCTTTCAATTCCTTTGCTCATCATTTTCTTCATTACTTTCATTTTGGTGAGACAAAAGGTGATGGCTTGAATGTGAAGAGAAACGATTATTCAGAGAAAAGCCTTGCCTACTATTAGCATCCAGAACCTACAATTTAGTAGAAAAAAATTCAGGGCTAACTAAAATTTCAAAATTCAACCAAAAGAAATTAAAAGTACAAGATACAATAACTGAATAAGTGAGGTTCTAGTGTTCTAGTTCCTAATGTGGACTGTCTATGATTTCCACACTAAAACACAAAACATCTTATAACTTCATTTAAAGAGGTGTAAGTGAGTATTAAATACCTCTTGATGGGCAGCATGTGCCTATTGAAAAATAAAATTCAATGAGTATAGATTTCTATGAAAATTGAAAAGAACAAAAATATAAACTCACCAAAAACCAAAGTAGAAGAGATGGGAAACTACGAAAAGAAGACTAAAGAGGTAAAAAAGAAGAACAAAACACAAGCTCAAAAAATTTTTTCCATTGATTTTTTCTGGTGATGGCCACATTTGTCACAACAAAGCTCCCAATGAAAAATTTGTTTGTCATTTACCAAACCATATATATATATATGCAAGAATACAAAGAAACTAAATGGTCGAACAAAAAAGGTTTACCTCTCTATCCAATCTATTGGCATAAGCTAATTGGTTGGTAGCTTGTAGAATATCTGTGATATTCTCATCAGGGAATCTTGCCTTTATTAGTTGCATTAATCCACTCAACATACTCACCACCTCGCTTAACCTTTGCTCAACGTTGTTGTCTGTAGATGTGGAAGGGACAGATTTTTTCAAATTTGGGACCTTCCCTAAGTAGTGAACTCTCCCTTTCTTGTCAAATCCCTACACCTTAGCGAATGTATCATCTCGCCAAGATGTAGTTTCCTCCAATGCACTTGCAGAAGTAGACTCACTGATATAGTTTTTAAGTTGTTCCTACGACATTTAACCAAAAAATAACTTGTTATTATTACTTTTTATATGATGAAGAAAGGTATACATAATTAAAAACATAGAGTTTATGTGTTTACTAACCATCACTTGACTTGCCTTTTCACTTACAGGTCCCCCATCTTTTTTTGTTTGGCTTTGAATGTAGAGTTCAACCCTTGATGGCTTTCTCCCATCAGCAAAGCTTTCCTGGAAAATTAAAAAGCAGTACATAATAAAATTCTAATATACCTTTAAGCAATTATATTAAAAAAAATGAAGATTGGACAACAATTTAATTTATTAGTAATCTAATATCATGCCCTAAATTAATTTCAATTATCACTTGATCAGTTAAGCATGTACACAGCTTCTTTTAATAAAGTAGCTTGAGCAGAAAAAATCAATCACCTTCTCATTGGCAAATCATGCAAAAGTCTTGGTGCCTAGGCAATGGGGCTCTTCAAGTTTTTGCCTATTTTCTTTATTCTATTTGCTAATTTTTTGGAAGAGAACAGAAGGTAGAAGTTATTTGTGATGACAAGAAATTAGGCAATATCTCAACAGCATAACAAAATTGTCATACCTCTCCCTTCTCACTATGCTAGTATTCAACAAGCACCTCAAATTGCTCCTTATCAACTAGAGGATCATTAATTTTTTCATACATTTCATCGACTATAAGCAATAGATCAAATCCTGCACTTTTTAACTCATTTTTATAGCTTTTCCATTTTTCATTTACATCGGTCATAATCCAACTCTTGATTTGCTCTTTGCGGCTTTCCTCAATAAGGAACTTGGACTAAAATTTGAAACCACAAAAATAAAATGAGATTTAAAAAGACTGATAATAGCAATGGAAGGAAGCGAGGGAAATTCTAGGAAAGCATTAGCATGGCCATGGCATGATTTGATTTGCCGTTGTAGAGGGAAGAGAGAAGAAGGGAGAGCTTTAACAAATTGAAAATCTACAACAAACAGAAAAAAAATAATAATTGTTTTGGAAACGGGACTGGCTTGAAACTTTGGCCATCTAGGGCTGGTCAGTTAGAAAATAATAATAGGTAAAAAACCTAATACTCCAAAACTCATAATTCCATAAAAAAAACTATCCAAGTCTACCAATTTACCAATCATCCAAACATTGGAAAAATCCATACTCTGTCCAACATAGATGCATGCTAAAAAACAAGAGGTAAAGCTCTTGACACAATACATCACCCTCCAAAAAAAACCCCAACTCATCACTTCAATAGTATACCCTTAACATTTGGGTTCAAACCCATTAACCCATTAAAACAAAAAGTTCAAAACTCAAAGTGGAATAAAAAATAAAACCACAAACCCTAATCTCAAGCAACTAGTTAACCATCACAATAAAAATAATAATAGATTTTGATAAAATTAAAAGAAATTAGTTTTCCATATATGAAAAATGTCAAACTTGCGGGAATTACAAAGTAGATTATCATCTTCTAAAAACTTGGTTTTTTGTTCTCTCTTTTACCTTATAATGGTAGCTGACAATGAATATATAGGGACGAAAGGTGGATGGGTGGTGAGGGTCCAAGCTATGATCAATAGCTATTTATTTTGATTGTAGAAATATGTAAAATGGAAAAAAATCTATAAAGTGTAGTAGACTAGAATCTAACCAAACTATGAAATCACAGCAACTGGTCCAAGGCTTCAAAATTAAATGGAATTGCAAACAAACTTGAATTGAAATTGAATTGTTAACTAATGGAATGTCAAGCAAATGCAGATAATAAAATTTGCACCAGGTTTACTAAGCTATTAAGAGTATAAGTTTTTTTTTTTTACCTCAATAATCTTCCACATGTCATCCTTATAAATTTGAGGCATATCCCCTCCATTCCTTATAGCTAATAGGTGCAATATCTGATTTTCTTGCAACAGTACCAAGGAATCAAGTCAAGGTGCAGCCTTCTTTACCAACTGGGTGACAATTTGCATCAAATATGACGTTGACCTTGACACCTTTTTCCAACTCCCATATGTGGGACATCAATGTTGGACGTCTTGGCTTTTTAGGTGGTGGAGATGATGCTAATAGTAAATGCATTCACAAGTTATAAATTCACATAAATTCATCCTAAAATTTGAAAAACATTTTAAGTAAAAACTTTACCTCTACATTCTGTTTCTTCTAAGAGAGCATGTTGATGGTTTGACTCACCCTCATTGTTTCCAGATAGAGCAAGTTGTTGGCTTAGCTCAACCTCATTTTTTATAGATGGAGAAGATGGCAAACCATCCTCAATTTGGTTGTTTGGCAGGACCCTCACAAGATTGATTCATTTACGCTTTGGCATCCTGGAAGGAAAAAAAATCTGTTAATAATGAAAATTTATATTCTAATGTTGGAATATATACTAACAAGCAAGTCAAGTTTATGAACTTAGAAGAATTACATACATAAATCTATAACAATCATTCAACCATATTCAAATAATTGAAAAACAAGCCACACCAAGCATAGAGTACAACAAGATAAAAAGAATGCTCATTTTTTTTTTTTTTTTGGCTTTCAAAAGGATCTCCAAGAAGAAATTCATAGTAATCTATTAATTAACTAATCTAAGTTCATGCATGCTAGCTTAATATGTTCTTTACATAATATATTTTCCCAAAGAAAAAACACCTTTACATACACCCAAACTTTGAATTTCAAAGGAGAAAAACAAAAAGGAATAGCACTACCATGAGAATCAATAACAAGAAGTACACCACAAAAGGGAAAACACAACATAAATTGAAGCTACTAGTAAATGCAACATAAAAGAAGTCCACAACCAACAAATTTATAAGCTCTATAATATACAACTGAAATTTATAAAGATTCTGCGAAATGTGGGGAAGAAGGGGAGAGTTTGAACTTACCTTTGTGCTAGATTCTACTTTTGGGAAGAATGAGAGATTTCAAACAGAATCCTCAACAAAACTGAAATCTAATAGCCCTAAACTAGGAATCTAAAGTTAATCACCAACCAAAAACTCAAAACTTGTCCAGGAAAATAACAAAATAATAGAAATTTACTTTGTAATAGACTTCAAAAACCAAAAATCATGAATTGAACTTACCTTGTGCCTAATTCTACGGATTTTGGGGATGAAGAAGAGATTTTGAGCTTTGGACAAGAAAGAAGAACTAAAAGATAAAGAAGGATAGCCTGAGTTAGAAGAAGAAGAACTTAGGTAAGAACTTAGGAAAAAGAATCAGTGGGATTACTAGACAAGATCTTCGCTCCCTGCCTCGAAGATGCAGGGCTCTAGGACTACGCCCTTCCGGCTGAATCAATACATGAAGTGTTCCTCAAAGTTGCCTTTGCCATGAAGCCAAGCTCTTCCATGCCATCGATGATAATGATGACGATGATGATGAACCTAGCTGCCTAAAATATCCTAGTCTCGACAATGCCAAGGGAGATGCTTTGATAGACATGATGCCTCGACTTCTTGATGGGTTTGATGAGGTTGTGGTTGGCGATGTTCCGGAGCCAAAGGCATCTAGAAAGTGTGTTGTGGGGAAGGGTGGCCTTGGGGATGTGGCGGTTGCTAGGGACAAGGTGGTGATTGGAGGTGATGTTGTTGACGTAGACAAGGGCAAGGGGGTAAATTGCTTGGATGGGAACCAAAGCACTTAGGTTTTTTAGTTTTATCAAAATCAATTATAGATTTTGTAGATTTGGGAGAAGGGTGAAACACCTAGGTCTACTTGGGGAGGGAAGCTCAGGATTAAGGGAGGAAATTTTGGGAATTTGTGGAGGGAAGTGAAAATTTCTACTACCGGTTGAATGGGTTTTTGAGTTTTATCAAAATCAAATACAAATTGTGGAGATTTGGGAGAAAGAAGCTAGGGATTTTGGGAGGGAAAATTGGGAATATATGAAGGGAAGTGAAATGCTTGTTGCAGTGCGACCGGCTGAAATTAAAAAGTGTTTAAGATACAGTGGATTATACAGACCGAACACAATAATCCGTTCGTATAGATATACTCTATAGAAACAGATAATCAATCAACCGTTTGTATAAATCTATCCTATACTAACGGATATATTTTTTCGTTGGTATAGACTAGTGTATACTAACTAGTTTAGTTTTCCATTGGTATACATGATTTTATACTAGTAGATTCCTGTCCATTGGTATAGACTTCCGTTGGTATAAGGCATTTTGTTTGTAGTGTAACTTTTGGTTCATAGTATGCATCATTAAGGGTTAGAATCGTTAATCATCCCATAAGTGAATTAAATTCCCATTATTCCTTTGCCTTTGATTGGGGCTAATGAAGAATTCCTCTTGTATGACAGCCGTAGTTTTCTCAAGTGACAACTCTAATATCAAGTTTGGATGAAATGCCAAAATTCTTAAGGAATTTCTTTTGTGCTACCAGACTCAATTTAGTATTCATTTATAAGCTTGTTTTTTATTTGGTTAAAAGAAGCTGAGAAAGGTCTGGTGATTCTTATCCTTATATGACTATTGTTTTAATCCAAGACTTTTTGTAGTGTTTCTTGGTTAATTTTGAAGTTTGATAGAAGTAACATTATTTTCATAATGATATAAATAGACTAGAGTACCTTTTATATCATAATATAATAAATTAAACTCTTGGCTAATT